TGCTCGCCCCAGGCTAGGAAGTCTGTTCGTCTGAAGTAAGTCAAGTCCGAATAAGAATGGTAAAGGCGCAAGTCAAAGTTTCCAGGCAGAAAAATAAAAAAGCATTGGAAAATCATGTTTATTTATGTAACAAACCCCAATTAAGGACATGAACTACAACATAATCTCTACAAGAAGGCTCGAAGAACTTTATCCACAAGTAGTAGATACGCAAAGCGGAGAAAGGGGACCAAGCACCTGAAAATCTATCAGGAGTCGGCCCCCAGAATGGCGGGAAAAAAAAAAAGTGGGAAGGCAGACGGGTCAGACCGACATATCGCCTGCGCGGCGTCACACCCTTTGGACCCGCCTGGAACTCCAGGTGAAGATGGGAGAACAAGGACGAGAGGGGATCTCCCCGTACCGCACCATATCTTGTACGATGAAATATGGGGAGCAGTCAGCAAACCTGTTCCTTCCCATCTTCATCTTCCATGCCCGACCTCAGGCTCTAGACACCCGCGTAAGCTCCAGAGTCCGGATGCGCGCCCGGAGTTCGGTCAGTTTGCCCCACACGTGTTGGCCGCCCGGAGAACCGCCACCAGAATCGCCACCTCCACCAGGCTGCCAACGAGATCTGTCTCCTCTCCCGCCGTTCAACATCAAGGCTTGATGTTGTTCTCAGGGATGTGGCATCACAGACAGCCCGTGCCGCCTGACCAGACACAAATACCAGACGCTCCCTGAGGATCCAAATCTCCCCCGAGAGAGAGTCGACCCGTCAGCATTTCGCGTGTAAGCGCTCATAAAGGGAATGAAGTGTGAAACCCGACCCAGAAGCCAGAAGAACTTACTTAAGACAAGAAGAACTCTTGTCTGAGGAGCCTCGAAAGCCCGCCATCGGGTGCAACCACCGTAATTCCTTCAAGGCTCTTTCTTCGCGCTGCTGCGCCCACATGAGGGAGTCCTGAAGGTAAGCCACAGATTCGATCGCCTTCGCTAGATCGTCAATGGTCAGCTCCACCGAGCAGGTGGCACAGTCGGGCCGAGAAGGCCACAAACCCGTAAGGGAGGCGAGGGCATGAAGCATGATGAAGAGAGGGCTGCAAAGAAGTGTCCGTCCCAGGGACTGGTTCCCGCTTAGTCCGGCGTGAACACTTGCAGCCAACTCGAGGGCTGGACTTAACACCCTTGAGCGTGGAAGCACCATCTAGAAACTGGAGGCAAACCGATAGTAACCGACGCCTAGCTAGTCGGGCTTCAGCATCGGAAGAAGCGGAATCCTCACCGGCCATCCTGGCGAAAGTTGAAGCAAGATCGAGAAATCGATTTAAAAGAGAAAGAAGTTTAAGCGCGATGAAGGAGCGCTTTGAGAGAGCGAGTGTAGAAATTAATCTCACACTTTGCCTATTTATAGGATCGACGATAGTTGAGGAGTCAATCGCAAGTCTCGGGCCGACAATGAGGAACAGCGAAAGCCCTGTGATGATTTTGCAATTAACTTCTCCTTGAGTCATGCACCAATGTGATGCCCATTTAATGGGACGGTTGACGCGGCCATTTCCGACCTTGGAAAGGAAAGAAGCACCAGTTCACGAGAAGCAAGGTAAACAGTGCAGCGTAGCCACCCATGCAGCAGACGAATGAAAATCTGCCACGTGGACTGCACTCATCGAGAGACGGATTTCTCCTCCCCCTCGGGAGAACCAAGCCTGAACCCGGAGAAACAGCTGAAGATGCACAAAGTCCCCCACAGGCATCGGCTAAACGCTGTCCCCATCAGCGATAAATCACAAGACAATTGTATGACTTCTCATACCCTACAGGAAACAAGTATCTTCTCAGGGTAAGTTCCGCTCCTAGGATAACTCCGCAGGCCAGCCCGTCGTCACTCATTCACACATGCGAGTCTGTCATCATATCATTGAGCATTTGTATTCCATACTTGCATGTTTGTATGCTTTTCTGCTTGAGTGATTCCATGCTTGCATGTTTGTGTGATTTCCTACTTGAGTGATTTCATGCTTGCATGTTTGTGTGGTTTTCTACTTGAGTGATTTCATCCTTACTTGTTTGTGTGATTTTCTGATTTAGTGTTTCCATGCTTGCATGTTTGCATAATTTCCTGCTTGAGTGATTCCATGTTTACATGTCTATGGAATTATGTGTTCGCGAGATTCCTTGCTCGTTTGAGTCCCAGCTCACACGCTTTGCTTTGCTCTAATTACTTGTCTTCTCCTTGTTAATATTACTTTGCTTGCATCCGTCTACCTTCCAGGGGCATCTCACTCACGATCTGTTTTCTGTTAAAATCGTTGGTCCGAATTGCCTCCAACATGCTCCCCCGTAGAATTTTTTGCCTTCCAGAGAACCATTCCTCCGGGAATTCTGGACACCGGTCCCGTAGTCCTCAGTGTTCTTTTGCCAGCTCCCTCTGGGGACCGTGCAATTTTTTGATGTGCTCATCCGGGGACGCATCAGCCTTCCAGGGCATTTTCCTCCCGAAATAGGGACTCCAGTCCCGCAGACCTCTGGTCCCACTGACCTCTGGTCCCGTAGACCTCCGGGTCTTCCTCGCCAGCTCCTCCCATGGACCATGCGACCCTTTAGTGTGCTCTTTCTGGGATCGTGCTTGCCTTATGGAGCACTTTCGAGGAATTGAGGCCGCCTCTCCTTTGGGCTTTCTCTTCTCAAACAAAATTTTATCCTATAACAATTCTAAAACCACAAAACTTTCCGCGTAAGCACAATGCAAAGACTGTCCATGTAGTTAGAGATTCGGGGTAACGCCTCTACGATACGCCTTTTTCACCTAGACTCGCACATGCTGCACAAAATTAATGGTTCCCTCTCATGTTAGCAACCTGAGCACGATGACCATCAGACCATCCCCTCAAGGTGCCATCAAATGGCTCTTGGGTAGGTGTCCAAAAACCGCGTCTCCATTTTATGTCAAACCCCATGGTGACATAAGACTCTAACTTCCTCATAAAACCAATGGGGAAGGGAAGAGGGCTCCTTGTCTAGTTTCTCGCAAAGCAAGGAGTAAACTTTCTCCAGGGCGATGCTCATCCGTGGGTGACAAACAATTTTTCCGAGAACCTAACATCCTCCTATTATGGGCAAGGATGTACTCTTCTGGGATGTATGCCCCAGCCGGGGTAGGATCCAATCTAACAGTTCTTCCGGGAACCTAACCATTCCACCAGAGATTTACCGTTTTTCCAGAAACCTAGCTTCCCTTTGGCTAGATCTGTACTCCTCCGAGATATGCGGCAAGGTCAGAGTGAGCCTTTCACCGTTTCTCAGGAAACCCAGCTTCCCTTCGGCTAGACCCGTACTCCTTCGGGATACGCGACAAGGTTGGGGTGAGCTTTTCACCGTTTCTCTGGAAATCAGCTTCGCTTCGGTTAGATTCTTACTCCTCTAGGATATGCGGTAGGGTTAGGCGATCCATTCTAAAAGCTTTAAACTAACCAAAAACCTTTGGATATCAAACAAATCTTTGATTATTTTACAGGAACAACGAAAGGACGACTCCCCGACTCATTTCTAACCAATTGAGAAGTGGGAGGCAATTCTTGGATCTAATTTTATCATGACCAATATCGAGGTGACATGTGGATGCTAAACCCCGTGTGGGTACTGACTTTCTCCCTATGCCTACCACCAGCCCCTAGCATATTGTTTCCGGACAGGTGGTAAGCTTACCAAGTAGGAGTGCTGTACTTAGCCACTTGCCCCTGTGGCGTGCCGAAGAGGATGGGACAGGATAAGGAAAGGGCCAATATAAAAAAGGCCAGAGGCCGAGGGAAAAGAGGGAGGTCCGATTCGAGATCCAAGGCCTAATCCAAGCAGAAACCACCCAAATAAGGAAGAGGAGGGGAAAACCTCCAACTCCTATCACCAGAGCTTGCCACGAGCCCCCGTCGCAGCGAGACCAAAGAGGAATGCTCACCGTCCCCCCACCCCGAGGAAACACCAACTGAGATAAGCATTATTCTCAACCCTACTCTTTATCTTACACCTATACAGAGAGAGTTCCTACCTCACTCTTCCCACGTTTCGTTCCTATCCTTCATCTTTTACCAAATAGTAGACGAGTTTCATGATCCTCAGAGGAGATAGTCAATCCATAAACCACCTCAAAAACCACATTTCCGACCAATTGTTTCCACTAAAGTGTGCATTGACTTGAGTGTTGGAGAACTTTCGGAAGAAAAAATCCCTTTCGAACCACCTGGAAGCCCGGCTAACTCATTTGACCATCTATATAGGACTTGTTAGACTTCCGTCCCGGAACCGCTTATCCTCCTAGATGACGAAACTTGAAAACGCACTTTCTTATATCCAGACAATCCCATACTCTATACATATTTCGTAATTTATTTCCGAACAACAACATAATAAAATATCAATATGTATTAATGTAAATGTCACCACGAGTGTTTAGTTTAGTTTAGTTTTTTTTTGCTTGTTTAGTTGTTATATGTATGCTTAACTAATACATAGAAATAGGCTAATATCACATGCAACAAAACGTAAAAAGTGATTGTAAATATCCATACCATGATACCACATGGAGCGCATTGCGTTATTTTACAAATGAGAGACGTTTTCTTTACAATTTTACCTTTCATACAAAGGCGTAGAAATCTCGAACATGTATATCATATGTTTAAGTCCTTTTGCAAGCAAATGCAGACTAAATTCATGAACGTTACCGCACGAACATATGCACTTAATTACTTTGAAAGCAGTAAACCTAAAAAACACAACACAGATTTAACTGGTTTTTTAATAATGTGTTGGCTACATCAACGAGTAAAACGAGACTGATTTACTAATACATAAATAATGTTTCAAAATCTTTCAGAATAGATCATATATTAAAGTAACAATGTTAGTTATAGCGAGAAACCCTAAAAACCCTACCAACATGTGATTTGTGTTCGCACGCTTAGGTCTAAATAGAAACTTTTCCTAATAACTTTGCGGTCCATATGCATGCAGTATGTTGCTTACACAACCTGCAGTTTTCAACATGTAGTCTACAAACATCATCACGTAGCATGTAGATTTATCATGCACTCTACAAGTTCATCGTATACCATGCATGCTTTATTCAACAGCATGCTTCCAACATCTTTCAAACTATTCCTACCATCCTTCAGCATGCGTCCAACATAGTCTAGTCTGCACGCAACATCATGTAGCCAGCACACAACATTTTATAACCTGCCAATAACATTCTGTAGCCTGAAAACACCAGCACGCAGCCTGTACACAACATTCTGCATCCTGCCAACAGCATTTTGCAGCCTGCACACAACATCCTGCAACCTGCTAACAACATCTTGCAGCCTGTACACAACATCCTACAACCTGCCAATAATATAGACATTTGCTGAAACAGGTTGCACGCTGCATGCTGCACGCTTGACATTCAATACATGCATATGAACAAATTAATAACTATTGGGGCGGTTCGTAAAAAGCTTACAAAGAATGTTTGCTACACAGTTAAAACCAAAAAAGAAAACCATAACATATAGTACAAATAAATAGTATTTCGTGAGATGTATATAAACTAATATTGGTAGCAGATTGCTATTACTAATATGTGCTTTTATTGTAGGTGCATGATTGTAAATATATTTGGCTGTAAATGTAAACGGTACCTTTTGTCAAGTCTATCTGGATAAGGTTTATGTTTAACAGGACTCCATATCACGTTGGAAAAAAGTAGCCACATGAAAAAGAAACTAGATTCACGAAGGAAAGCCATGACCCAAACTGTACCGTTTTGGTTTATATGTAGAATCTGGTACAAGAGAAGTGAACAGAGAAGTCCAAGAATCGTGAGATCCAAAGCTCTTGGAACAAATCTGTTGCATGACATCCTTTCGCAAAGAGGAGGGAGTAAAGAGCTTGAATCCGCCATGAAAGGAGCTTTCTTGCGGGTTTCTTCTTCTTATAGAAACAAGAATGGGTTACTTACAATTAAAAAGTGCACCACGTCTATATATAATGCGTACGTGTTCAGACAATATATATACCTCCCTCAAGTTTACTTCAATGTATCAAAATACGAGTAGTATCGGACCCAAGAGCGTAAATCTCTTGCGAAGTAAACGTATGCAAGGAATGTAACGTAATGACAATAACGTAACTAATGTTATTGCTGTTCATTACGTGATTAAATTTGTATGTTTACTTCGTTCGGAAATTAATATTTTAATATTTTTTCATTTTACAAAATGAGTTATATATTTAGGAAATTTATTTTTTTTTACTAATAATGTTATTTTATTTTTAATGCAAACTTTATATTTTAAATTTATGTTATTTCAGTATATCCATACTATTATTTCAGGAGCACTTTAATGTTTAAACATATTTCAAGTGCCATTGGTGTTTCTGTTTTTTTCTAAAAATTCATTAATGACAGTTTAGTTATTTGTTAATACAAGCAATTGATTTTTTTTTCTTTTTTTATTTAACTCTTATATACCTATTATCAAACACATTAGTTTTTCAAATATTATTTAGAATAGTTTAATTCCAATTACTAAACACATTTAAATAATTTAAATTTTCCATCGAAAATTCTAATTAATCTTAAAATTAATTACATCCAATTTTATATAAAACGAAAAGACCATTATAATTAGTATATATATGTGATTAAATTATAAACATTTATAGAATATAAAAAATTTTGCAAAAAAATACAACAAAAAATATATCTCATATATTTATTCTTATGTGACAATATAATATGTCAAACACATATGTTTATAAGAAAATAACTTTTATAATTACTATAAATATATATATTATTAAATTATATACATTTACACGATATAAAACATATTGCAAAAATATTACAAAAACAAAAATCATATTCTTATCATTATGAAATAATATAATTAAGCACATATGTTTGTAGTAAAATAAACTAAGACATCAATTTTATGAATAATTATATATTATTTTTTATATGTATAGTGCAATCTAATATCAATTAAATTTTGATTAAACTAATTCTAATTTAAAAGCATCATGATCTAATTTAAAAACACCATTAACAGTAAATGATAATAACCATAAAATTTTATTCAAATTATATTTAGTTCTATCAAATATCTAATTAATCGATTGCACTAAATATTGTGATATTTTATTAATACTAGATCACTAAAATTATGGAGCAAGCTTCCCAAATAAAAATCAACATCTTTTAAATTTAAAAAAAAAAACAGTAACTGCATAAATGTAAAGTATATTCTCAAAAACATGAATTTTAGCATATTCTCAAAACCATTCCAAACAGTATTGATAATTTTTTGTTTTAGAAATAATAACATATTAATAATACAAAAAAGTCAGCAATTTAATAAAAAAATTACATAATTCACTATTAACAAAATAAAAAAAATTTATTATAAGATTACTTCAACAAATTATGAGGGAAATGACAACAGTAACTAACGTTATCTCATTTTTCTAATTTGTTTTGGATAAAAATATTCTCTACTTAGATTTTTCAAAAGAAATGTCTTTGCAAACATCAACATCTTTTAGTCGTTATTAATTTTTTATATGTTAAATATATATTTTCAGTTTGTTTACTATGTATATGGTTATGTTTAATCTTTTTACCTTTTCATTTATCATATTTTGTTTGAGAAAGAAGGAGAAGAAGAAAGAGGAAAATAAGGAGAAGAGATGGACGAGAAGAAGAGCGAATGAAAAAGAATAACAATTATTTTGCGTAAGCACACTGCAAAGACATTTCTTTTGAAAATATACTAATTTATCAATTTTGAAACTTTTAGGATTCAATCATACATATTTAGGAATACATTTCTAAATACTTAAAAAATAGTTAAAATATAGTATCATTAGACAATTATAGGAAATTATTTACTTAAATAAAGGATAAATATATTTAGGAAGGCATTTTTAAATTGTTGAGAAAGATTTTGGATTTAGGAATGACTTCCTAGAATATAAGGGTGCATTCCTACATGAGAAAATCAGAATATTACAAATAAAAGATGGTAGAGTTAGAACATTGTTAACGTCTCCAGATTTGATTGACAACAACTGTAACTTTACGTTTTTGTTGTAGAAATATGAATGTAGATTTTTTTGCTATAGCTATAGATTTTATTTCTTTAAAACTTGGCGGTGGAATTGTAAAATTTGAAAAACATAAAATTATGTGCTATAGAAAAGATATACTTTGTACAGCCAGAAAAAAAAAAGAAATATTTTGGCTGTGAACAAATACAGAAAATATAAAGTTTATAAAGCATGATTGGTATGATTTAAAGTAGTCATTTTTTGACTAAAACTTTTTTTAATGGTAATTTTGATAATTACGCAAGATTTAGAAAAGTTTTACATATATTAAGTTTTTAATTTGCGCTATGCAGAGGTCCATATTAATAGTTTGGTTTAATTTATTTTAGTTAATATCTTTTAGATGATCAGAACTATAATACATTTATAGAAAAACTCTTTTAAATAAAAAAATAAATTAGATTGTGTAGTTTTTACCTAATTTTTCTTTATAAAATTATTAATTTTATTAAGTAAAATCATAGTAATGATACATATCGAATGACATGCATAGGTTTGATTTAGAAAATTTATTTTCTTACTAAGTTTTTGGTGTTTTGTTTTGTGTCCATAGGGTTTCTATAGTTCTTGTTTATTTAAGGTTTGCTTGTTCAAATATTTAGTTTTTTTATTAAATGTAACACTGCTGTTGTATACCTATGCAAATATAATATGTAATTTTTATTGATTTGCATTTACTTTTGTTGGGATGCTTTAATAATCGTGTAAAGCTGTTTCTTGCTTCTCCACTATATCTTCTATAAATTTTAACCTATATCTCTATTCAGTTTATTATTAAAATCTGTTTAATTTGCAGTTTAATATTCGATAATTTTAGTTTTTAAACATGTGTGATGGGGTGGAGTCTTTATCTTTTATATATTTTATTCATATTTTGATTTGAATGGTTTACTAGATATTCTCATTTGAATTTAATTTTTAACTTTGCCATACTTTATTATTTAAATAAAATTTTAGAAGATATTACTCGTGTTGTTCATATTGGCTTAATTATAAGTGGTAGCTATATATAAATATGTGACTTTACTATTTGTTATATTTTGAGTGTAAAGTTACTTGTGTAGTGTTTTTCTATGTATAATAATTTTTGTATGTTGAGTTTCCAAAACGTTAGCCTAAATATTAAGCAAATTTTAATTTTTACGACTTTTTTCTTTGATACCTTACCTCTCTTGATATTGATTTCTATTTTATTTTGACACAGAAAATTTTAGAAAGTATTGACATTTTTGAAAACATAATTTCATTTTTCATTTTTTTTGTAAGTTAAAGTTTATTATATTAATTTTTTAACTAGTTAGCCAGATATCAAGTCAATGTTTTAGTGATTTTTAATTTAAAATTTAGTGAAACATAATTTCTTTTTATTTTTTTATTAATTACTTTTTAATATTACTTTTGCCTAAATATATATTTAAAATCATGTTTTTCTATAACAATTTAATTTTAATATTTTTGCTAAATTTATATAAATTATTCGAAAAATATATATGTTAAATTTTTGCTTTTGTTAATTAACTTTTTGGTTATTGGTTTAGATATTTTTTTGTTAGCTTAGCTTTTGTGACATTGAGTTTCCATAATATTTTGTTGATCTTAAATTTCAATTTTAATATGATGATTTTTTGTATATTTTAATTGCTTTTAATTTTAACTTTTTGTTTTTTAATTAAAAAATACTGATATGGACCATTGAGTTTTTTCATCTTATGTGAACATTTTCAATGTTTCAGGCTTTAACTTTTATATAGTATAAACTAGGTATGCGAGTCTTTTCTAATAGTTTGTTTTAATTATTTTTTAGCTAATATTTTTTAAATTATCGATTGATTTATAGAAAAGATGTATATAAAATAATTTAAAATGAAACAGATGTGAAGGTGAAAAAGGCGACTGAAACGGTGATAAAGTTACGGTTTTTCCATCTCGCCACCGTGGTGGCGGTTTAAATTTCTCTGATGAAGGAGTGATGAAATTCTCGGCAGAATCCAACTCTTCTTCGAGTATTCCCACTATTGATTCCACGATTAATCGTGATGACAATTTCCACACAATGGTTCATCCTTGTGAAGTATATTTAAAGACGATTAGAGATCGATTCAATCTACATCTCAAATCCAATCTACTCTCGATTCTCTTTATTCTGAGTAATTTCTACATAACACTGATGGAAATGGCAGACAACTTGCTTCGAGCGATTCAAGACATCAATATTGGTGCAGAAGATCCCCCTTTGTTCTTCCAACAGAGACTGTCCACCAAGCAATGGTGGCAAACCGGTTTGTCATAATTGGCCGACCGGTGATACCAAGGAGACAAAACCTGAGGTCTATTGTCGCAAATCTACCTAGAAACTGGAGAGTTGTCGGCAATGCACACAGAATAATTGTCGAATAAAGAAGATTTTAATTTGTTTTCTCATCGGAGGAGGCACTCGAATGGGTTCTCCGCAGAGGTTTGTGGGCCTTTTCCGATCAAATATTAATACTCCAATGATGGTCTCCACGAACAAATCCAGATGAAATGCATTGCATTCCTGTCTCGGTCCAAATCAAGGGGATCCTATTTCAGTATTTGAGCAATGACGTTATTGCTCATGTTGGGACGGCGCTTGGTATGCTCCAGGAGATGGAATCGATTCCGAAATGGCGGCCAGTGTCGAATTTGTAAGGGCATGCATCGACTGGGATATCCATTACCCTTACGATTACAGAAAATTTTTTGATTCTCCATAGGAATCAACACAATGCTTCAGTTTACTTATGAGAGACTGAGGATTCTGGGAGGTGTGTGGCATGCTGACGCATGACTCTGGCAATTGCCTCATTCAA